GTCGGTGCGCGACGAACCGGGTTTACGTGATTCGTGCCGGATGTGTTGTCGCATGCAAATTATTCGCAGCAAGTGATTTTCGGCATAGTATTGTATAAACTGTGCGATAAAGCTACGCGGTCCTCCTATATGCGTTAGTAATGTTACTATCAAATTTGACCGCATTTAGATCACTGTTGTGTGGAACTGAAGTGTATCACACGTATGCGCACATTTTGCGTTGAAGTCGGAATAAAAATTGCCAGTGGTTTCCGGCATCTAATCAGTTAGTTACCGAAATACGCACGTGTTATTTCCCTCTTTCATCTTGGCTACACATTGTTCGCCTAATTTTCATCCGTATCGTTATCTGCTCGAAAACCATTTGTTTTCATTCTCTGGGCAGTGGTGACCCGGTGATACCGTCACCAAATTATCACCCAACGGGGATGTGTGTTCGAATCCCACCACCACCACCACCGCCTGACCTTCCCCATTGTGTGTGTGTGTGTTGAATGTTAGCCCTTTGATTAGTCGCTTCCTCCTTCCTGAAAATTGGATCATTGTGTATTCAATAAACGGAAGCAAAATGAAAGAAATGAAAAAGAAATGCTTACATCAGTCAGAATGTCCTACTGGAATCTGAAATTGAGTTCAGATTGGGATCACATACTAAACAGTTCATGGTTTGGATTCCTTGAATCGAACACTTGCCCTGGCTAGGAGCAAGGCGTCCACGAACAAAGCATAAATCCGTCTATGTCCAAACCATCGGAGGCGCTCTCGTCTAATCACAGTTAGAATAAGACTTGGCATGAAACCCTGACCAAGGATCCCGGTTGTGTTAGGTAAGCTGCCTGGTTGGTGACCCCGTGATCAATCTAACCGATGGTTGGAATGCTGTCGCTGAATATCATAAATATTGACGTTCGTGCATCCACTCGCTTTCCGTGCAAATTTAGTTTACTGGTCTTCTGTAGTGCACTTTGTATTCACAGTGGCAGTATTGACCGGGTTAGGCGGTAATAGCTATCTAAATTGTCAACACGTTTGACGGGAAGGAACTCTGAACAATTTGTGTCAAATGGTGCTGAAACACTTCGCATACCAGAGTTGACTGTACTGACTGTGAGAGCATCTCTGACCGCTCTAGGTGCTGTCATTGATTATGCTACAAGTTGTGGCTCGTCATCGTCGTTGTTGTTAATGGCAAGCTTAGCTTTTCATTGCCCCAATCTTGGCGTTGGCCAAACCAGTACTGGGTTCGGTTTGGTAAAACGGGCGAGAGGCATAACAAACAGTTAACGATTTAACGATGACGTGATTGTGCATGGTGTGGGTACCGGTAGATCAAGCGAGCCGTCACACGCATGTGCACAAGTACACACACACATATGCATGTATTTATCTACCGGCGTATCAGTATCTCTGATGTCCCTGGATAGTCATATTCTAAAAGCCGCAAATCAAAATCTCAGTTTTACTGTTGCTGCTGCTGCTGCTCCTACTGGGTTCGAACCACCAAATAACCGTTGGTGGTGATTTACGGGAATGCAACTGGGAACACAACTTTGGAGTTTTTGGGTAATCAACATTAGTTTGGTATCTCGAAGATCCTGTACATGCATAGTCTTTTCTAATGTGTGTTGTGGCATTTTTCCATATGAATTCCATACCTCTAGCGCCTGTGATTCCTTCATCTTTTGTTTGATTGCCATTTAGAACCGTATTTGTGAAGTTTATGCTAGGCCATCGATCTATACTTGACTGTCCCTTAAATAGTTGGATACTAGTTCTCAAGTGTCTCTTTTTTGGGGTATTTCGGGTTTGACAGATAGAAAATGAAGTCCACACGAACTAAGTTGAACGGGCCATTGTTTTAATGCGAGCATGAGAGAGGGGGGAGGGAAGCGATTCAACAGTAGAAAATTATTCTGTTGACAAAGTATGGAAAATCGGTTCTCGTAGCTCGGGTGAACTGAATTCTATTTCGACCGAGCTACGGGACCTGATTTTCAATACGTTGTCAACAGTTTTCTCCGGCGTACTACGCTAAAGGCGGCTCGCCGATGGGAAACTTTCGCCTATCGAGTAGTCTCCACTCACGAACAGCTATTCTTCCTTAACGAATACCTACGGAGCAATTTACTTCCACGCAGTATGTATCATAGACCACCGATCAATCACCCGGAGGCCTGGAGGATCTCACGA